AATTTCACAAAATCATACGAGTTCTTAACTGAATATTGCCAATAATTGGCAGAGTCCCTTATTTGTATGCGGGTTGCTAAGGCTTCTTTGTTAGCCTGAGGCTAGCGCAACTTTCATTTCGTCTGAACAAGCGGGTCAAAAGGTCTTCGGACGCCGAAGGAGGGCTGTCTCGGGCGTTGAACTGTTCGATTGTGCGAAGCAGGCCTCAATCTGGCCGCGGTGAGCTTGCATTTGTCATGTGACGGACATTCTCGCAGCCAGAAAGCATCATTTGCAAACAGTCACCAAAAAAGGATTAAGCCAAAAAGAGTGCATGAAAAGTATCTTCTGGTGATTGTTCGTAAAAGAAGCTTTCTAGCGCTGAGGATGTCCGTCGCATGGCAAAGGCAAGCTCGCCACGACTGGGTTGAGGACTTTTTCGTACCAGCTGCAACAGTCACACGTCCAAGACAGTCCTCCTTCGGGGGCCTGTCCAAACGAAATGAAAGGTGCGCCAACATGGCTCTTCCATGCCCTCAACGCCATTTTTGCATTATTCTGGTGCATCGAGTTGCTGGGCGTAGGGGGAGGCTATTCACAAAGTACCATTTTAAAAGTGGGTTGATCTGGTTTTCGCAACTTGATCGTGTTGCCAAGGCGACTTAGCCGGAGGCACCTCGTCCGAAGTTCTTTACCATGGTAGTTATCACAATTGTCAGGATGGGAGCGTGGACTTGGTACATGCCAGACGTTTCGCGGGCATCGCCAGTGCGCCTTGCCATTTTCAGCACCAACCCACAACTCGTCAAAGAGACAAATGAAATCGCTCTGGGAATGTACCAAATCCACGCTCCAACGCAGGGAATTATGCTAACCACTATGGCAGAGGACTTCGGATAAGGTGCCGCCAACCAAGTCGCCTTGACAAGAGGAAAAAGTTGCGAAAACCAAGTCAAATCACTTTTATACATCGAAAAGAGACTGCGATCATACCAAAGGCCACACCAGCTTGGTCTTTACATTTACCATTTTAAAGTAAAGTTACCTCCGGAAGGTGTTCAATTTTCAATCGGTTTTTACATTGCGGCAGTAGCCCTTCTCTGTCCAGGCTGGATACAAGCGTAGATACGAAAAGAAACTTGGTTTCGATGACTTTCCTGGGATAACATTGTTAGGGGGACCTTCATTTTGAATGAAAGTGCATGAAGAAGAGATTCATTGGTCGATCTCACCAGATGAGGACGGATGACACTCGTTGTACTGTAGCCTTTTACCTTTTATATTATATTCATGTTGACACAGTCTACGAGTATTCCTCCCTCGTTTCGGGTGAAAACGTGCTGAGCTTTCGTCCATCATATGATGGACATCAACAGAGCTGGGTCTCATTCTTGTAAGTCTCACATTATTACTAAACCAAGAACACTATCTGGCTTCATCTTACTACTTATATACACTAAATCGAGTCAAGCAAAAATAATAGAACGAACACGAAAGAAAATTG